CACGGGCCTCGTCTCTCGACGGAATTGGAAAATTTGTGCTTTCAACAAAGTGCTAGTCGACCAGAATAACTTGTTTAAAAAATTCGCAGTGTGTGCAAATTTCGACCGCGAAACATAAGACCAATCAGATGCTGTCGGAAATTGTACTCCTTGAAGAAAATGAATCAGTTAAAGCTCCGGTATACATTTGAAAGGAGGTTTTCAAGTTCCTTAGGAACTTGAAAAGTTGCCCCAAAACTGTGAGGCACACTGTAAAACCCTGAACCCCACTGACAAATGTATACTTGAGCTTTAAGAAACTGAACGTGTACAACTGTGAATGTTGTAAACCTGAGCAATTGCCAACTCATGTGAAAGCTGCATGTGCTTGTCATATCAACTGCCGTTGCTGACTCGACAAAGGCAAATGCTTATCGAAACGTTTCTTATGGGTTCATTGTCTTTGCTAATTGATTCTCCTTGCTTGTAGCATAATCTCGTTCTATCAACTTTCCCTTTTGAAAATATGCTTGAATTTTACCAAGGCAACTTCTGTTAGTGAGCCTCACACTAGTAAGCTCTCCCGTCGAATAGCATTCTCCACATGGTGCTATGAGCGTGGACGCTCCCGCAGAGTACTTTCAGCATAGTAGCCGACGTATCACTTACCTATATCGTTGTTGTTAGAGACTCAGGACGGAGTCTATGAAGATTAAAGGTCGAAATATCTCAAAATCGTTGGACCTAATTTCTGGACAGAAATGTCGACTTCACAAGAAACGCCGTCGACGAAAAACTAATCCTGGGAATTCTCTTAACCTCGAGTATGCTGTTGCCCTTGACTGTGGCTATCATTCCCAATTTGAATCGTATCAAAAGATGGAGTGTTTCTTGAGTTATGAATTTCTGCACGCTAGGGGGTGTGCTGCCATAGAACCTTAACTCAATCACAAATTGTTCTCAAGTACCACACACAAAAGTTAGAGTAGCAATAAACCAGGTTGGAGGGAAGAGGAGGACGAGAGGGAAGGTCCCCAAGGAGTCCCCAACCAAGGAAACCCCATATCACACAATTCCCCTCCCTATAGGCACCCTAATTTTGACTTTTGTCACTTTCCCAACCCATGCCATCCACCTCACCCAACTTGGCCACACTTGCCAACCTGGTTTGGCTTCTCCCAACCATTTGGCATCAATCAACAGTAAAAGTTACGAATTTCCCAATCCCCAAAAGCCTATACCCCTTATTGAGTCACTCAACAAACTCCCAAAGTCGTCGCATCACAATCAAAACTTCGAACGATCATAACTTTCTCGTTCTTGCTCCGATCGCGGCGATTCTTGGTTCGTCGGAAAGCTCTCGAGCAGAGGAGTCACTTCAGATACCTGCACAAGCCAAACTATCATTCAACTCAGAGAATCCAAGCCACACCAAACACAAATTGTTGCACACGCTCACACCACGCATGCAACGCACAAACATATGATGGGAGGCAGACAGACGTGAATGCAAATGATTGCATCACACAACAGTTGTTAGGCCGGCAGCCCGTGCAGACCATGACGCCTACCCCGGCAGAGGCCAGCGCGGTAGAGGATACATTTGGCTGATGCAACGAGACGCCACGAGGCTGGCGACTTCGTGCTGGCGCTCCCCTTGGATGTGGTTCTCTGTTTTTCAAGATCCGTCACTTCGAGAACTTGCGACGAACTCATTACTCAAATAAACGCAAATCCGCTCAGTAGGATTGTGCGCCTTTTGCTTAGCTACCATGTCCAGTTTGAATCACTTAAAAAAATGGTCTAGAGAGTGAGAACCGTTTGAAAACATAGAGCACCTGCATGACTAGAATAGTGGAGGAAATACAATCATTAAGGCATAGAAATGTTGGAGTTGGGGACTCCAAGAGAACCATGAGAGGGAAGGGGTTCTCCAAGAGCTAGGGATAGATGGTAGAAACCTTCCTAGCAGCAAGGATGCAACCCTCATCATGAGGTCCTTGAGGTGTCACATGCAAAATCTAATCTTGTTGGATTTCGCCTAGGTGTTGCAACATTTGCAACCCATGCTAGAAACTTCTAGCCACCCCAATCCAAAAGTCAAAGTTGCCTTCCTAACCACCCAACCAAAGATCCCTTTATAGTCATGCAGTAACCAATCTCTAGCAAGTGATGTTGTGCGAAAACTCTCCAAAAATGCCAGCCTCGAGCTCGCCGCCATGGCTACCTACCGATTGCCTGGAACTCACATTGCGTGAAGCATGTTCGTCAGATGGCTTTAATCTAACCAGTTTCGGATTCGCTACACTCTTACGAAGAAGGTTATACTATTTATGTGTTCATCAGGCGAACATTGAACAGCCTTCTCAAGGGTGTCTTTCGCTGGTTGAAGTCTCTAAGCCCGATGCTAACGCGTGGCTCCGTAGGTTCTGGTTCATTTTCAGGAAGCAATCTAAGTTATCTACCATTGGCTACGCTGATGCTGTGCAACGGGATGATCCCGAAGTGTTATCTTCGGCTTTGCAACACCTCTGCCAAGAACAATGGTCAACCACTGGAAGCTATCAGCTATTTAACAAAGGAGTGCTCAGACGACCGGCAAATCAGTTTATTCGGTTCTCACAGCTCTTGTTCCAAGAGCCTCTGCCGGATTTTTGTCATCATCGCACGATGCCTCCGAAGAACTCGCGCGCTAAGCTCGTGGTTGACGCTCCTGCTGGTGGGAGTGATCCTGCAGGCAAGACATCGCCAAGCAAGGGAAAGGAGATCGTTGACAATCTTCCGTCGGATGCAGAGGTGACGGCTGGCAGCTCTGGACTTACTCTTGAAGAGAAGCTGAAGGCGCTGGCGACGGTGGTCCCTGATGATTCCTTCATTGAGGATGATTCGCGACTAAGAGCTCTTCCCCGCATCTGCGTTTCACGGCGATCTTGCTCTTCCCGGTTATTCCTTCTCGGGAAGTTGCTTCGGTCATTTTGACAGTGAAGACGCTGATGAAACTCGTTTGGTCTAACCTGCTTACTGATGATGTTCTTGCTTCGGTGAAGTTCCAGGAGCTGCTTCGTGCCTTCGTCGCCAAGACCCGCTATAGTCGGCTTCAGGTCTCATTCCTGCACGAATCGGACGCGGTGAACATCAAGCAGACTACGGTGGAGCACAAGCGTCAAAACGGCACGACGCTACACTATTTCTGGCTGCATCAGGAGGACGCGGCTTACCTTCGCAAGAAGGCTTCGAGCCCGCAGCTGCTGGAGGTTTTCTTCAAGAACGTACCTGCTGACATCCCGCCGGAGCTGGTTAAGGAGATCATGGTGGCTCACCCGCTCAAAATCCGGAAGCAGTCTGCCTTTGCCGAAGGCCATTGCTTCCACCGTGTCCTGCACCCGGTTACTGGAGCCGACACTGACAAGATTAAGGGTTTGGTGCTTCAGCACGCTGGCGACAAGCACCGCTGGCGTCATGAGTTCCGTCATCAGCTGTTGGGAGGAACGACCCTGTTGGCCCACTACCCGTTGCTATCCTGCGCGCTCTGTGGTGGACACCATTATGACAAGTTTCATAATGCTTTCATCATGGAACGTCAGAATAACATAGGGAAGTGGAGTTTAACTGTGGGACGGGTTCATAGGATCAATGGTAACTGCATCTTACCTTTTTCGGGTTGTCGCTTTGCTTTACCTGTCTTGACGGTTACTGACGCGCCGCTTGCCTCTCGCAGCTGCCTCTCTCCGCGCTTCCGCGCTTCACCACCCCGCTGTTGCTAGACGCGGCTTTTGTGCTGATCTCTACGGGAAGCAACCGGGAGGAGTGGTTGTGTACTCTCGAATGTTGCGGGAAGGTTCACGGCAAGTCATTCATGGCGGCGGCAGACCATATTACCTCGGCAAGTCACCTGCTGGGGCTGGAGAAGCTGGGTGCGGCCACTCGCGGTTCCCTGGAGAAGCTCGGTCTACATGTCATCCGCAAGGAGTTCGGGATCTGAGATGGCTTATAGTTACCGGCCTGTGGTAGTAGAGCAGCTGCCGTAGTCGATTGTCGTGTGGTTATTTTCGTTAGTTTCACCAGCCTGTGGATGCGGAGAGGCTTTTCAGCAGTGATTAAATGAGTAACAAGAGTCTCTTGTCAGTGGCGGGCCTGAATGTCAACGGCCTGGGAGATGGGAACAAGCAACAGCGTACGAAAATGTGGTTAAAACAAGCTGCTGATGTCACAATACTCGCAGACGCCAGACTCGCGGATGATCACCCATACTGGAAGTCATTAACTCACCCATCGGTTCGTGTCGCCTCCCCAACTGCAAAAGTCGGGGGAGTGGCCTTGGTTTGTCGCCGTCATGGGCTTTCACTGCATAATACACTCATTCACCCGTCAGGAAGACTCATCAAGACAGACATCCATCTGGACGCCTTCCACATCACCCTGTTAGCAGTGTATTTCCCGGCGGATGTGACGGACAGGAAACACTTCATCAGCAGGGTGCTGGGGCCGGTGGTAGACGCAGTGCACCCAGGCGCTCACCTGCTTATAGTAGGGGATTTCAACCTGGTGGAGGATCCGCTACTGGACAGAACGTCAAAGAAAGGGACTACGAAGGAGAATGATGTTCTGTACCAGCGGTGCAGTGCTTTTAACGTGTCGGATGCTTTCAGAGTGCTGCACCCTTACAGGAGGGAGTTTACCTTTTACTCGTGTGCCAATCAGTCCAGCTCACAAATTGATCGGGTGCTTATCTCACAGTCGCTGCTGCCGCACGTGGAGTTTGCCTTGCATATCATGCCCCCATCTCGGATCACAGCTTTGCGGTGAAGGCGGCCTTCCGGATGAATACGAAGGTGCAGATGGGGCCAGGCCTCTGGAGGCTCCCTGCATATATGATCGGGAGACCAGGGGTTAGAAAGGTCATCGAAGCGGTGGAGAAGCAAGTAGCAGCTAATGGCGACGATTTTGAGTTGTTGCTGTCAAGGTTAAACGCCGGGCTCAGAGCGTACGCGATGGAGGAGAGGAAGCGCATCACGGCCACGATGGCTCACCTTCAGCGCACGGTCGCTGACCTGAAGCAGGCCTGGCTGGGCGACCCGAGTTGTGCTCGGCTGAAAGAGCTGCTGGACAAGAGGGAGGCGCAGCTGAAAAGCTACCGGCTGGCACGACAAGAGAGGCTGCATGTGATGGCTGGAATGAACGAGTTGGTCATGGGGGAGGTGGCTTCCCCGCACCTGTCTGCAAAAATCAGATCCAGGAAGGAAAAGACACAGATTAAGGAGTTAAGCGCCGGGGGGGTTCTGGTCACTGGAAACAAGGAGATCCTGAGCGTGGCTTCTCAATTCTACAGAGATCTCTTCGGGACGGACAGGCAGAAGGCCTTGACAGACTGGCAGCCGGTTGCTGGAAAGGTCTTGTCGCCAACGGCACGAGTGAGGGTGGCAGCGGATTGGTCGGAAAAGGAGGTGCAGCAGGCCTTCCGCTCGATGGCGAAGAACAAGGCTCCGGGCAGGGACGGGTTGCCTAAAGAACTGTTCGAGACGCACAGGGATGTCCTGGGCAAGCACTTCATGGGGCTGGTGGAAAGTTTCACCACGTCGTCGTCGATTCCTGCAAGCACGAAGGACGCGGTCACCATTTTGTTACACAAAAAGGGCGGCCGTGATCAAATCGAGAACTACAGGCCGATTACTCTTCTGAGCTTCACTTACAAGGTGCTGGCGAGGGTGGTTGCGGATAGGATGAAGCGGTTTCTGCATGAAGTGATCTCGCCCGAGCAGTATGGCTTTTTGCCAGGGCGGAGGTTGTCTGATGCGGTGGGGCTGGTCGCGGATGTGATTGATGCCGCCAAAAATAAGGAGAAGGACTGGTATCTCCTGCTTGTGGATTTCAGGAAGGCGTTTGACTCGGTCTCGAGGAATTATCTGTTCACAGTGTTGGAAAGGATGGGCTTTCCCAGCAGGTTTGTCGGCTGGATTAGAGGCCTGCACGAGGGAACACAGACGAGGCTGTTAGTTAACGGCTGGCTCGGCGAAGCTGTGGAGGTGGTGTCGGGGGTTAGACAGGGCTGCCCCCTAGCACCTTACCTTTTCTTGTGTGCCGTGGAGCCGCTGGCGCAGGCGGCTGCAACCCGGAAGCTGGGTCTCACGGGTGGGAGTCAGCGGCTGGCCTACCTGGGATATGCTGATGACACGACGCTCCTGCTGCAGGGGGAGGATCAGATTGCGGAAGCAGAACAACTGTTAGACGATTTTGAAAAGGACTCGGGCCTGGCCACGAACAAGGACAAGTCGGCAGTGCTGCCGCTGGGGAGGAACCTGGGCAAGCAGGCTAGCAGAACGGATGGCTTTAAGTGGGTAAGGGCGGACGAAGCGGAGCGGCTGTTGGGAGTCTGGGTGACACCGTCCGGCAGCTGCGCTCCCACATGGGAGAAAGCCTTCGCAAAGATAAAGGAGAAGCTGAGGCAGTGGGAGTCACAGCATCTCACGACCGGCGCGAGAGCGGCAGTGATCAACTGTTACATCTCGCCGATTATCTTCTTTCAGGCGCAGGTGTACCCGCCGCCGGTGGACGTATGGGGGAGGATCCTGAAACTCACACACAACTTCATGTCAGGGAACCGCGCGTCGACAGACAAGGGTTTCATCCTATGGAGCAGAGAACTGCTGTACATGGCGAGGGTGGACGGTGGTGTGGGAGTCATGGATCCAGAGATCACCCTCACCTGTCTCACGGCGAGGCGCATCGGCCTGCTCCTCACGGAGGCGAACGAGCTGAAGCGGGAAATTATGCTCGAAGCGGCCGACCTGCCGCTGGGCCTGGACACTTTCGTCTCTCATGTCAAACTTCTGAAGTGCTGGAGCGGCAAGAGCGAGAGATGGAAATTAGCCTGTGGGGACTTTATGCAGTCACCGCTGGCAGTTACGACGCTGGAACTGTCGCGGGAAGAGGTAGAGAGGGAGCGGCTGGTGTTCAACCGCCATATTCTGCTGAACGGCACGACTCCGGTGGGAGGGCAGAAGGCCGCGGCGAAGCTTTGGGATGTACGGCTGGGGGATCTACTGTGTCCGGACGGCACGGGGGGCCGGCGCGCCAAGGACGTGAAGTCTCTAGCGAGGGATCTAGGTGGCTCTAAGCAGGCGAAATTAGCTCTGCGGGCGTGGGAGGCAGTGCCGCAGAGTTGGAAATCAGCGCTCCTGTCTGCCGAGCACGCATTGTTCCCTCGTCCGCCGCTGCGCACCCCACTCCAGAGGACGCCGTTAGTGGAAAATGGGCAAGTGGTTGCGCTAAGGGAGCTCAAGGGGATCTGGCAATGGCAGAAGCATCAGTCCGCCAAACGCGAGCTGTGGGCGGGCAGATGGGAAGGGTCGATCGACTGGAAAAATGTCATCAGGATTCGAGACTCCCTGGTGACACCAAATAGACCGCGTGACGTGCTCCTAAGGATTCACAGCCTCAATCTGCAGGTGGGAGAGCGGCTTTCTTTCCTAAGTGGCAAGCCGGTTTGCCCCCACTGTGGGGAGTTTGAGTCCCTTGAGCATTGCCTTTTCACCTGCCCGAGGATTCAACTGGTGGTGGGTGCGGTCAAACGCGCCATGCGCATGCTCAACCCGGGGAGGCAGGTGGCTGATTTAGGGGATCTGCTGTTCGGAAAGGCAGCATCCACCTCAGCTTTCCCAGAGGCGTCGCTGGCTGCCATTGCGGTGCACCAAATTTGGGCTGAACGATGTGACTGCGTGTTTCGGGAGCAGAAATTCAGGGCTCGGCGCGTTCTCAGGCGCATTGAGGCAGCATTTCGGCTGCATGTGAAGGTGTACACCCGTGCTATGGGAAGGAAGCTGGGGAAGGCGAGTGGTTCGAAAAGACAAGGGAGTGCCTATGCGCTGGCAGAGCGGGAGGACCAGCTCCTTGGACACGTCAGGTGCACGGCAGTGAAAGGTTGGAAGTGGACAAGGAATTTTGGCGCACTTTGGAATCTTACGAGAGGGGCTTTGCATCCGCCTTAGAAGGTTTTCTCCTGAGGTTGTTCTTTCTTGGAGGAATAGCCTTTCACGCTCAGTTACGACTGGCATATGTTTGCGTACACTTGTATCATCGGTGTTAGTGGACATATTCATCCAAAAAAAAAAAATGTCTCAATAATTGCCCAATGTAGATAATATCTCAAAATGAGATAGAATTCCCAAAACTTGGAAATCTTGTAACTTGGGCGATCTTGGTCGGAATAAGGCGATCTTGGTATTGTTGGAAAGCTCTAGATTTCTCCTGCATGATAAAGCATGTAGACTTGGAGAAAAACACAGACTAACGGACTGCACACACACACATACACACACACACATACACACATACACACACACACACACACATACACACACACATACACACACACACACACACACACACACACATACACACACATACACACATAAACACATATATACACACACACAGACACACATACACACATACACACATACACACACACACACACATACACACACACACATACACACACACACACACACATACACACACACACACACCTTAGCACACACCTTAGCACACTTCCAATGTGCGCTCCCGAGAAGTCTCTTGGTGAGAAAAATCCGCCGCCTGCTTGCTAGCCTTCACATGGTGAAGCTCAACAACTCCCTCCTTCACCATCTGCCTCACCCAGTGCCACTTAATCTTCATGTGCTTGTTCAGCCCATTCAGGATAGGATTATTGGCCATTCCAACAGCAGCCTCGCTGTCAGAGAAAAATGGTTTAGGTCCCTGCTGTTCAGCTCCCATGTCCTCCAGCAGCTTCTTCAGGAGCACGATCTCCTTGATGGCATGGTACATCGCCATGTACTCTGCCTCTCCGGAAGACTGAGCAATCTCACTCTGCTTCTTGGACCTCCAGCTCACTGGTCCACCTCCGACCATGCACACAAAGCCGCCATCTTATGACTGATCCTCCTCCTCTGAGGCCCATGTAGCGTCGGTGAAGCACGACAGCTTCAAGATTTTGGGCGTGATCCCATCTGCTCCAATTTGTTTCAGCTGGCCGCCAGCTGAAATCTAGACACCAAAAGATGCCGTTGATCCGAGGTAGCGCACCAAGCGCTTTGCCACCTCCAACTGCTCCTCAGTGGGCCGCTGCACAACTCTGGCTAGATGCCCTACTCCGAATGAAGCATCAGGTCGCGTATGCACAGCTGCATACATCACACTCCCAATGAGTGATTGCATACATCATACTCATTCTGCTGCTTATCCTCAAGTACATCATCCTCCTCAGCTGCCTTCTTCAGTTTGAAGCCTGCAGGAAATGACGTCATCACAGTGCAACCTCCTGTCACACAATAGCGCTCCATCACACCAGAGATGTAGTGTGACTGATGCATCTTCAGCCACCTCCTCTCAACATCCCTCTCAATCTGCAGCCCCATATAGTAGTGGACATCCCCTAGCATCTTGCACTTGAAGTTGTCCATCAACTGCTTCTGTGTCCTCTCAATCTGCTCCATGGAAGGTGAGAACAACAATATGTCGTCGACGTACACCAACAGCAAGAGCAGCTGCTCCCCCTCTCCAAGCAGAAACAAGCTGTGATCCGCTTGGGACGTCTTGAAGCCTCCACTCAGCAGCACCTCCTCCAGCTTCTCGTACCAGCACCTGGGCGCTTGCTCGCTTAAGGCTGACTTCTTGAGCTTGCACACCTGGCTGGTCCCATCCTCGTAGCCGTTGGGCTGCGCCACGTAGATATCCTCCAACAGTATTCCATTGAGAAATGCAGTGGTGATATCCATCTGCTTCACGTACCATCCTTTTACAGCTGTGCCAGCCAGCACAGTCCTCAATGTCACTGGCTTAACGACGGGAGCGAAGATATCCTCGAAGTCAACCTTCTCTTTTTGCTGAAACCCCTTGGCAACCAAGTGGCTCTTGAACCGCTCCAACGCACCATCGTCTCCACTCTTCACCTTGAAGACCCACTTGCTGCTGATCGGCCAGAAGTTTCGATTCTACAAAAAAAACGTCGTCGCGGAATGGATACTTCGAATTAGAACGCGATTCGACCACCAATCAAAATGTCACGAGCAGAGCTACTAGAAAATGGTCTCACTCGTCAACATTGGTTGAGAATTGACTACGATTCGTCGTCTCAAATTCGACTACCCCGCTCTGATACCACTTGTTGTTCAGGATCCGTCACTTCGAGAACTTACGACGAACTCATTACTCAACTAAACGCAAATCCGCTCAGTAGGATTGTGCGTTTTTGTCTTAACTACCATCTACAATTTGAATCACTTAAAAAGATGGTCTAGAGAGTGAGAACCGTTTGAAAACGTCCAGCAGCTAGGGAAGGATGGTAGGAACCTTCCTAGCAGCAGGGATACAACCCTCATCATAAGGTCCTTGAGGTGTCACATGCAAAATCCAATCTAGTTGCAACATTTGCAACCCATGCTAGGTGTTGCAACATTTGCAACCCATGCTAGAAACTTCTAGCCACCCCAATCCAAAAGTCAAAGTTGCCTTCCTAACCACCCAACCAAAGATCCCTTTATAGTCATGTCCCAATAATCGCCCAGTCCGCCGACTCCTGGACTAGTCAGCGTATCAAGTGCAAGACGCTCTTGGCGACCGAGTCAGAGTACGTCGCGGCCACCGAAGCCGGCAAGGAGGCACGACGACTCCGCTTTCTCCTCGCCGAGTTCCAGCTGCTCGACGTAGGGAAGCCGACGGTGCTGTACGTGGACAACCAGTCGGCCATCACAGTCGCAAAGAGCTTGGGAATTAAGGGCAACTTCAAGCACATGGAGTCACGTTACGCTAGGCTGCAGCAGATGGTGAAGTGCAGAAAGATTGTTCTGCACTACATCCCAACCACCGAGCAACCAGTGAATTTACTCACGAAGGTGCTGCATTTTCCGGCTTTCAACCGGTGCTCCGTCGCAATCAGTCAGGTTCGCCTTGCTGAAGTCGCCATGTCCTTCAACGTGGCTGGTGCGGTGGGTGGAGTTCTGAGTTTGCACGCCGTCGAAGCATCCCCCTTGTACTCTATTACATGGGCTCTACGTGCGGACCATGCGCGTTTGTGTGCCCAAGCATGAGCTGGGCAGGGGAGTGTCGAAGAGAAAAGGAGCTGGGCAGGGGAGTGTCGGAGAGAAAAGGAGCTGGGCAGGGGAGTGTCAAAGAGAAAAGGCCGCGCCCTTGCGTGGTCGAGGTAGACCATGCTTCTCGGAGCACAACAGTGTGCAGACGACTTCGTTTCGTGTGTATGCGACGAGTCGTCTGACGACGAGATTAATTTGTCGAGGTTGAAGTGTTTCTTCTACTCGACAAAAGTGCCCGTCGACGGGAGTAAATCGGCGTCGAAGACGAGCCTCGTCTCTCGACGGAATTGGCGAAATTGCGCTTTTGAGGGAGTGCTGGTCGACAGAATTGAGCTCGACAAATGCATCGACGAGCAGAGCGTTTCTGGTCGACCAGAATTGCTTGTCCCCAAGATTCACAATGTGCGCGAATTTTGACCAATCGCCAAACTGAAAATTTCGACCAATCAGTTGCTCTCTGACATTGTACTCCCCAGAAGAAATTGAATAAGTAAAAAACTGAACCTAAAACATGTTTTTACTAACAGTAAAAACGTATACAACTGTGAATGTTGTAAACCTGAGCAACTTCCAACTTAGGTGAAAGCTGCATGTGCTTGTCGTTTCACCTGCCGTTGCTGACTCGACAAAGGCAAGTGCTTGTTGAGGAACGTTTCTACAGGGTTCATGGTCTTAGCTATTTGGTTCTCCTTGCTGGTACCATAATCTTGTTCGATCAACTTTTCCTAGTGAAACTATGCTTGAATTCTACCAAGGCAACCAAGCTCACTCCTAAGAATCATTGCCATAACTCTGTTCGTGGTTTTCCTAGTAAGATCTCCCGTAGAATAGCATTCCCTGCAGTACCCGCGCAACACCGCCAACACCGACCCCTTGTTCGCGTCAAACTTCCAACACCAAACCCGGGAACCACACAACCCAAGGCACTATTTGGGAGGCACTCTAGCCTGACCAGGCCAAGTCGGACTGGAGTAACTGCATTCCAGTTTTCGAGGTACGAGTGAGGGTTCGGTTTCCCTTCCAAACTGGAGAAACCCCACTCCGCAGTCAGACTAGAGTGGACTGCACTCCCCCTCAGACCCTGAACTGCAGTCGGATTGTGGTTGGAGTGAGCTTTGCCAGTGTAAGAAATAGCGAGGTTGGTTTTAAGAGTTCCACTCCGACTGTGTTTTTGGAGCGTTCGGTAGCCCAGTCAGAGTCGGGAGGGTTGGTGTTCTTTTAGCGATTTCGAGGGCTCCGAACCCGTCTGGAAGATTTTCGCTTCGAGTTCCGCGTTCGGACTGGGGTGCCTCTCGAACAGCGCCCAAGTGATAAACTTTTGGTCCCCCCCCCCCCCCCCCCCCCCCCCCCAAAGTGCACCCTTGCTTTAAGTACACACTTTTTAGAGCCCTAATTTTGGGAATCTGTTGGTGCAACCCCATGGTTTGTACTCGGGTTGTTGTCCTTGTGTGTGCATGGAATAGTATGGGGGCATGAGATAATTCATATTTCATGCTTACAATAGTGTGTGAATGATGAGTCACGATGTCGAATGTGTGTGTCAAGCCAATAGCGAGTTATCGTTATTCGCTTGTCACGTCGTCGTTTGTGTGTCGTGTGCGGTTCTCTATTTTGTCGTATGTTGAACGTTCAGTGGGGCGCAGGTGTGTGCAGCACACCTTCAAGAACTCAAGGAAGTTTATGGTGAAGAACCAGAGCCTTGGTTTCAAGCTTCAAGTGATTTCGAAGCTTGCCAAAAGGGTGAAATTCAAAATATTGAAAAAGGTTGCATTATAATGTGTAGTGTAACATTTCTCTTGGTGTAGGCCCACGTGGAGGGTAGTTTCGAGACCCTTCGTGGTTGGGGACAGTGTGGCACTGTTCCACATCACTGTACCTCGGCTCTTTGTAGAGGC